TTTCTCTTTTCATTCTGATCATTTATGTATACATTTGTCTATATCTATCTCGATTCGTTTTGCCTGTTACAAACAACCGTTATGTGAACAAAGTTATAATACCCTTGTGCACAAGTGCGCTCGGGTATAAAAAAAAATTGATTTTATGTTCCGCCATCTGATGGTAATTGAACCCGGACCCTCTTGCCCGCAACCAATTGTATCAAGCGTCTTTGCAGACTCAGCTACAGCCATAGACGTAAATGTGTTTTCAAATGTTGAGTTTGAATCAACATCACAGCGCACGATTAGTGCATTATGCCTACGGTGACCATCCATCCTTTATTTTAAAGGACAGTCCTTTATTTTGAACCCCCGTCCTTTATAATTTTCTTTTAAATAAAGGACGCCTTTTGTTCTTTATTTCTTAAACTGTCCTTTAAATCAGCTCTGCATTTTTCAGAGGTAAATTTTTCAGAATATGAAAAATAAAAATGTTCCTTATAAAATATAATGAAAACCTTCGCCAGTTTGTTTCGCACCCCACTTAAGGGTTTTTATTTAATAGGTAATCTTTGCACAATCTATAAAGCACAGGGAAAGTTGTGCCCAGGATCGTGTTGCACGCTGAGTTTCCAGTTCCACTGAAAGAGAACAATAAACCCCCTGCTGGCATTTAGTGTTCGTAATTCACTGGAGCCTTCATTTTTTTCACTTAATTGGATAATTTTTTTTTTATTAAAGCTTATAATATTTGAAAGAGACCAGTTGAGCCTGATTTGTGAATTTTTATTTGATTATATTAAATTTTTTAGTGAAAAATGCAGAAAAAGTGGCAATTTTGAAGAAAATGGAGAATACATTATATAACAAAGACTAGTTAAAAATNACTATTTTTTGTGGGGCTACGTCAAGTCTAAAGTCTACAGAAATAAGCCAGCAACTATTCCAGCTTTGGAAGACAACATTTCCGAAGAAATTCGGGCTATTCCGGCCGAAATGCTCGAAAAAGTTGCCCAAAATTGGACTTTCCGAATGGACCACCTAAGACGCAGCCGCGGTCAACATTTAAATGAAATTATCTTCAAAAAGTAAATGTCATGGACCAATCTAACGTTTCAAATAAAGAACCGATGAGATTTTGCAAATTTTATGCGTTTTTAAGCTCTTAAAAAATCACCCGTTACATACACTTTCTTAATTACATATGAAAGAGCATCCGAGACGTACAAAACGCCATCCGTGCAGTGAAAAATGCTTCTTCATTTTAATACGGGCGTATTTGTATTGAATATTTCCATTATACGTAGTGTATGTATAATGGAAAAATCCATTTTGTTAAGACTTTTAACTTGATTTAAAAACGAACATTTTTAAACGGTAATCAAATAAAAAAATTTTATTCTTACAAAGCATTTTTTTTCTCAGTGTAGTATTTCATATCATTAAATATTTAAATAAATTAGAGGCGAGTATATATTTGAACAAAACATCCGCCTTGAAAACATTTCTCATAATATCATATGTAGGTTGGTCCAAAAACAGTAAAGTTGGAATTGTAATGCTCTCACCCCTTAGGATTGTTCTATATCGAAAAAAGTATACCCAAATTTTATTTTTTTTTAATAAAAAAATATTCAAAGCGCTCAAAGTTTTCCATGTATTTTTATATGGGAAAACAACCACTTTTCGTTGAAAAAGGGTAGAATTCTTGAAAATCATTATTTTTCGATCGGAAAACTCTGGTTATCTTCAGAAGACTTTCAATAATAATGCCCAATTGTTTATTTAACCATTTTTTAATACTAACAATTTTTTATTGGTAACCCATTGCATTTGTCGGGGTTTTGTAGGTTTTTGGCGGACCTATAAACTATAGTTGCGATGAAAAAATTGTTAAATAATTAATTGGGGTAGGGGTATATTTTTTCGGTATAGAACAATCCTAGGAGGTGAGAGCGTACAAATACATATTTAAGTATGTACTTATATTCGGTGAAGGATAAACCTGCATTCTCCACCATTTGTACACAGATCAAGGCAAAAATGTTAAACCCACGTAGAGACATAGAAATTATGTAATTTGTGTATGTAGGATCGTAATGTGTTTGTATTAAAAGAAGGAAAGGCAGCTGGGTTTGCCTTATAATGAAGTTTTCAGAATATGGATTGGGTTTGTAGGAAACTAGAATTGTATTTGTGGTGGGCTATATTTGCACATGTATTTGCAAGAGAGAGAAAGATAAAAAAACAAGAAATCTACTCATTGCAGATAGTTTCAAACCAAACACAAAAAAAACGATTATGATTGTTTTACTTATTGTACGTAACTTTGGTTTTTACATATTTACTATATAAACGTGCATATACGTACATGTACGTGCAGATANCAAGAAATCTACTCATTGCAGATAGTTTCAAACCAAACACAAAAAAAACGCAGGATGCTTGTGATTTGTTTTACTTATTGTACGTAACTTTGGTTTTTACATATTTACTATATAAACGTGCATATACGTACATGTACGTGCAGATACGTATATACACGTGCATGTGTACATATGTGTATGCATATCAGAGAGGACATATGTACATTATATGCGCATATTCATTCAAATGTGTTGCTTTGTAAACATAAGTTGCGTTCCTTATCTCCCATAAATAGTCCGAAGTAGTCAGATTTAGTCCAAAAGGCGTTCCTTAACTCGAAAATGACAGCAGAAATGAGAGAGCAACACTCAGTGAGAGTGACTCTCTTCAGTCCGAAGTAGTCAGATTTAGTCCAAAAGGCGTTCCTTAACTCGAAAATGACAGCAGAAATGAGAGAGCAACACTCAGTGAGAGTGACTCTCTTCAGTCCGAAGTAGTCAGATTTAGTCCAAAAGGCGTTCCTTAACTCGAAAATGACAGCAGAAATGAGAGAGCAACACTCAGTGAGAGTGACTCTCTTCAGTCCGAAGTAGTCAGATTTAGTCAGAAGAACTTTTGCTGGCAAATAGTCTGTTCCTTTGAACGTCGGACTAAAACCTGTGGAACTGTCAAACTACAATTTTACTCTCTCAAGTGAGAGTAAAAGAAGAACAGATGCAGAAGTGCACGGGAACGCAAAAAGCACTATTTCCTTTAAAAACGTCTGTCGGTTTGTTTACATGTCATTGGTACAACACTGATTTGGCTGAAATATCACTAAATAATTATTAAAATCTATACATATTCAATAACTTGTTTGTTTACTTCCATTTTTTTTTTACAAATATAAGGTTATTTGCTTTTACCGCTTTCAGTTTTTGTTTGCACATGCAAATCAGCTGATCGTTTGACACTTTTCCTGAACTCACAGGAAAAACAAACTCCGGACTAAATCCTGTAACTTCTGACTACGAACAGTTGCTCAGTTACTCTCTCAAAAGTGTTCCCACTTACAGGTTTTATGTCAATAGGGAACGACTTCCTGTAAGTTCTGACTAAATCATGTAAACCGGACTGCTATTGGAACAGACTAAAAGTCTTGAAAATTGCCAAACTCAACTGAATTTAAATTAACGGAAATTAAAGAATACACAAAAAGTGAGAATAATCTAAAAAGTAATAAAGTGAATTGAAAGTGGAAGGAGGCACAAAATAATTGATATAGTAACCCAACAAGCATTTCAGTAAATGTTTTTAAAAATAACTTACAGTAAGTTTGCTATAATAAGCGTTAAATAAGCGTTTTTAGTATTAAGTTTATTACAAGTTTTTTCAAATAAACCTTTAATAAGTGTTGAGAGCGAATGTTTATAAATCACTTAAACTTAAAAATGAAATGCAAATGCCAACGACATGAAGCAGTGAATATAACATTTTTTCAATTGTCAGTGACGTGTTTACGTTCTTTAAAATATATTATTAAAAGAAAAAATAATATATAACCAATGCGGTAAAAGTAGGCGGAAACGTCGCGTTTAAAAAGTGAAAAATACAGTGTGAAGAAATTATAAATTTGAATAGTGAAGTCCGCGGAAGAACACATTGGACATAAAATGCTGAGTTCTCCTTATCCTTGCCTACTTTTAACATTCAATTTAAAAATGTATAAATTTTTTTACAGAAAAGTCCATCAATCAGAATGGCGGCGATGAAGCGGAATATATAGCTGCATCGATGTCGTTTTTATAACCGCATGCAACAAGATGTAATAATTAACTTTTTTATGCTTAATGTATGTATGTTATCTTGAATTTGAATGCTAAAATGTCTCTTCTCTATTTATATTTTCGCGACTGTAGATGAGTCCGCCGAAAATTCGCATTTCTTTTAGTTTCTAGATGTTAAGCAATCTATGTATGAGTTTTTAATGAAATATCTTTAAATAAAGGGTTATACAAATTTTTATAAAAAGCTTTCTTTTGAAAATTTTTAGTAAGTTTATATTCATACGCTTATAAACAACTTTTTTTGAACCTTTATTATAAGTTTACACTCTTACGCTTATTAAAAACTTTCTTTTCAGCATTTATTATAAGTTTATATTTCTATGCTTATAACCAAGGTTCCCTTTCGATTATATTACGCTTACTTTCAAGTGTTTTATAAACAAAAAATCAACGTTTTGTAAGCTTAATGTTTATAATACATAACTTTAAAAAAGCTTTCTTTAAGTTTAATTTGCTTGTTGGGAAGTGTTTATTGTGCTTGTGTGAATGCGTTTTGTACATACATTTCCATTCTAATTTGATGTTAGTTTTGTTGTTGCCTTCCTTTGGACTAAAAATTTGGTTTTTTGCGTTCCTTTAAGCTGATGCCACATAAAACTTTTGGTTCGCTTTACGTGACCGATTCGCTTTGACAGATAAGATGAATTGTATGAAAATGCACAAAGCATGCCACATAAATCCTTGAAGCTGCAGCGCGAAGCGAAAAGATGGCCAACTCCCATCTTTTTGCGCGCTTTGACAATCAGCCGGTTTAATATTTATTTTGTTTCGTCCAAATTCGGGTTTTCATGCAGAAACATAAAACTTAATCACATAGCTGATATTTTTAAAGCAAAATATATAAAATCCACAGCAATTTTGACGAGTAAAATAGCAGTACAAAATTGATTTCTTGGCGTTCATTGTGGCATACCTTTTGCGTCTGGCGCTTTGCTGGCAAAGTTATAAATGTCACGCAAAGCTACAAAGTTTTATCTGGCATCAGCTTTACTTTTGCCTGTTATTCTCTTTTACTGAGCGCATTTCGCTTACGCTCTTGCATTTTGACACTTTTCAGATTTTAGTCCGAAAAGATAAGGAATGGACGTATAGTGTGCCCGTATGTTTATATGTATATGTACATATGTATGCATGGACGTGCACATATGAAGTATTGTCCTATCTCTTCTGCGCCATTTAAAATGCTTTTGTTGCTGCTATTGAGCGAATGCTGGACTAGTAAAATTTTGCTTAGCGTATACCCGATTCACATCGCCACCCAAAGGCTGTGTGTACTACCATCTTCACCGGAAATGGCTGTGGTGAAATGCATGCATGCATTGTCATACATAGGCCACATTCGCAAGCGTAAAACACAGCAAAATCGTACCAACATATTTACGCACGGTACTTTCTCTCATGTTTTATCATCTTTTTATTTACATACATATGTATACATTAGAGGAGAA